TTGACAAAATAGTGAATTCCATAAATAGATTTTCTTTTTCCAGCGATTAATAGGATAGCTAAAAAATGCATAAGGACATAGAAAATCTGAACCACTCTCTCTACCATCTTGGTCTATTTTATGGAACACTAGACTCAACACTGCAGAATACACTTTCTGTTCAAGTATATATGGGACATTTGCCAAGATAGAACATTTAGTTGGCTATAGAAATAAGTCTTAACCAATTTCAAAATATTGAGATCTTAGAGTATGTTTTCTGATTAAGAAGGGATTAAATTACAAATCAAACAGTAAATTATTTAAGTATTAGCCTTTCAGATAATTTGGAAATTAAACACCATTTTTCAAGTAATTATTAGGGAAGTTAGAAAGCCAGACAACTCCATTAAAAAAAATTGCAAAAAGATCTGAACAGTTTGCAAATGCAGATATGTGAGTGATTAATAGCACAAAGCACAAATATAAACTCTCATACATTTTTGATGCAAGTATAAAATGGTACAACTACTTTGGAAAATGTTCTGTTTCTTATAAAGTAATTATATATTTACCCCCTTGACCCAGGATTATACTCTTATTTTCCAAGAGAAACCAAAGCCTGTGTCCCCCTCCCCAAAAGACTTGCACATAGTATTTATAATAGCTTTATACTTAATTGCCAAAACTGAAAACAACCCCCATTATTCACCAATGGGAAAATGAATAAAGAAATTATGGTATATTTTTACAATGAAATACTTATTCACCATTAAGAAGAAATAAGCTAATACATGAACCAACATGGATGAATCTGAGAAACACTCGGTGTTGAATGAAGCCTCACACAGAATAGTGCTGTAGGATGTCTTCCATGTGAAGTGCTGGAATAGCCAAAGTTAATCTGTGGTGGAAAAGAGTTGTTTGTCTCTGGGAAAGGGAGAACTTGCTGAACTGATGGAAGTGTTCTGTATATTGAACAGGGCTTTGGGTTACACAGTTTTGCTTTTTTTTTTTTTTTTTTTTTGCACACAGATGTTTACAGCACCTTTATTCATAATTGTGAAAACTTGGAAGTGATTAGAATGTCCTTCAGTAGGTGAATGGGTAAATAATGGTATATCCAAACAATGGAGTATTCAGCTCTAAAAAGAAATGAACTATAGGTCCATTTCTTGGTTTATCTCTTCTACTCTAAAGATTTTTAAGTGCCATTTATATATGTATATACTTAAAAGTTTGAAATATTTCCAGGTCTAACATATTTTCTGGGGCTGAGTCACATCATGAGCTTCCTAAAGAGTACAGTCAATGATGTGCCCACTAAAATCCCAATTTACACAGTTTTGCTTTTATCAAAGCTAATTGGTAGGCTTAAGTTTTAAATGTTTCACTGTATGTCAATTTTACCTTAAAAAACTAACATATTGAACTCAGTTAATTATGTGCATGCTAACTCATTTTGGGGTGAAGGGTATTGATATTTGGAGGTTACTCTAAAAATGTATAAAAAAGATAAGATGGATTGGTAGGTAGATGGATGGATAGATGATAAAGCATATAGCAGAATACCAATAATTATATCATGAGGTGATAAATGTTCATTGTCCAAGTCTTTAACCTTTTGTTGTATTTGAAACTTTTTTTTTTAAAGATTTCATTTATTTGACAGACACAGTGAGAGAGGGAGGGAACACAAGCAGGGGGAGTGGGAGAGGGAGAAGCAGGCTTCCTGCTGGAGCAGGACCCTGGGATCATGACCTGAGCCGAAGGCAGACACTTAACGACTGAGCCACCCAGGTGCCCCCCCTTTTAAAGATTTTATTTATTTATTTATTTATTTATTTATTTATTTATTTATTTATTTGACAGAGAGGTATTTGAAATTTTTTATAAGAATATGTAAGGAAAAAATGAACAAAGGTAAAGATTTAAGAGAAAGTAACAGACTTTGAAAACATGGAAAGAATAGCCAACATATAAATAATAAAACTGAAGAGTAGAACAGAACAAATACTAAAAACTATAGTTTGAGTGAACTTTACTGAAATGGAAAATTTGAAACTGTGTATTGAAAGAACACATGACATATCTGAGAATGTTCACCAGAAAGACCCACATCAAATTATTGGACTTAAAAAAAAAAAATCCTTTGGGCACCTAAACAAAAAGAGTAAGTGGCTTATAAGGGAGACAGAATTAGGTTATGGATATTTTCACAGCAGTATTTTATGCTAGAAGAAAAGGGAGTAACCTATTTCATATACTCAAGGGAAAAAATGTAGGCTAAGGATTTTATAGTTAGCAAAATTAACCTTCAGCTATAGAGCGCCAGAGAAGCTGTTATCACCATGCAAGGATTCAAGAACTCTTGTTCCCTTGAGTCCATCTCAAGGAGTCTACTGGAGAATGAACTTCAGAAAACTAGAATTGTTGAGAGATATTGACAGAAGAACTGACAGTGAGTGCTACTTGTAAAACTAAGACCAAATGAGGGTTAGAAGGAGAGAATATAGTATGTAATGGCTATATAGTCTGACAATGTAGATAAAGAACAATGCCACAAAATGATAAGGGTCAGCATAGGCAAAAAAATTTGCTTTTATTGTATTGATAGTGGTAATGTTAGTACTGTTAATCAATTTTGAGACTGTTGTGTAATGTGGTATAGTGCATATTAATAATTATGGCATATGTGGAAGCAATTATGGGATAATTTTAATTGTATAAACATATTATAATATATTCCAGGAATATCATATCATTCTTGGAATGATATGATGAACCTGGAACATCTTATCATTCCAGACTAATAAGGAGGCTATTAAAGACTAGGTTCGCATCAGAAGGGCTTAGGAATCCACTTGAAGAGTTATTTCAGGTATCAGTGATGATAATACGTGCAGTGGTTTGAAGTTCATCAAATATGTTTAATTCTGTGAGTTCTTACGATATTAAAAACTAACTGGTCATCTTAGAGGTTGTTAGAGAACCAATTTATTTTCTTGAAAAAATGATAAAGAGAAAGAGCGAATCACTTATCCTGGCTTTGCTAAATGAACTGGTATGACTGGGTAACCAGGTAGCAGATGAGGGGAGCATATCTATAAAATGTTCCAACTAAGTAACAAAAAAGAATTGATAGAATTTTACTATGTTAAAACCTTTAATAGTAGATCTAGGTATGGACCAGGAATGGCTCCAGACACCACCAAAAAAGAGACAACCAGGCATTACGTGCCCTCTTTATAAACACAGTATCACTTAAAGTCATAGAGCATGAGTCTGACCAAGCCTTTGATTCAGCTACCAATGCAGAAAATAGTTTTTGCACTAGAGTATGTCGTCTGCAAAATCCACACGGTGAGGAAATGAAATCATGTAATAGGATATATTCATATATTAGAGGGCATAAATTTAAATTCTAAGTTAAAATTGAGTTGGAGGTGGAAGAGAAAAATGAAGGAGAGTGGGAGTAGAAATACATCAATTACTTCTTTGCTTATGGTTGGGAGTCTGTAAAGCTGGAGACATAACAAAGGAATTAGGAAGAAATATATCTGACATATCAGTCAGTGGACAAAACCAACTTAATACTGATTCTCAGAATCACAAAGCAAAACTCAACTGTGTCATGTACTGATATGGGATTATCTCTGTATTAACTGAAAAATGTACAACAGATATAGTCTATTATGCTGAAGCATGATGTGTGTTCAGATTTTGACAGTTTCTAGAAAGTTGCTCAAGCAACTGATGATGATGGTTAATGCAAGAAACTTGGAATGATTGGTTCCCTCCAGGGACATGATCTCCTGGGCCACTGAAGGATGGGAGTGGGTCAGAGACTTAGTTTTGCTGTATACTTTTTTGAGACTCCTAAATATCATGTATTAAAAAAATTAATGAAATCCTTCCCAGCCTAGTCTTGTGTTTGACTGACTTGCATATTCATAGTACTAGGCACTTTACAGAGAAGATGAACCATTAAAGAGACTAACAAACATAAAAAGAAAAGAAGCCATAATATGTAATGTGCAAAGAAGTAGAGATACAAGTATCATTCACCATCATCCTTCCCCTTTCTTCTTCCAAACTTTTCTCTCTTGGGATATTCATGACTAGCTATAGATGTGATATTAACAACCCTTTAAAACCATGACTTGGCTCATGCTGGGCCCCCGTTTTCCAAGTGTCTTGGGAGAAGTCATAAAGAGTTGAATTGGGTCTCATAGTGTCCATGAACAAGAAGGTATAGAGCAGTCCCGTCCTCTGTCAGGAGTTAGTTCTTTCAGAGTGTTTGCCTCTGTGTGCCTGTCAGTTTTCCCCAAGGTGATTAAGTCAGAGCAAGTGTTTATTTCCTATTTTAGTTGGAGGAACAGAAAAATAATTATGTTTAGCTCAACTGCTTTACCTTGCTTAGGAAGACAGAAGTTTAAGAATTTGAACATTTTAATGGGGGATCTCACTAACAAGGGCAAACTTCCAATTCATTGTGCAGTTTAAACCAAACATATTTCATATAAATCCCATATATATTTTTTCTATATTTGGTATAATTTTTCTTCTTTTGCAAGGCAAGAAAATCAAACAATACTGTAGGAGATACACTGACACCTGCTTATTAATCTCAACATCTAGGGTGAAATCATAAAATTTTAAGGAAATATTTTAAAATAGTATTACTTTATTGCATGTTGAAAGTGGTAGTGAATTCTTTATCTGAAAATAAATAGCCAGTAATGACTTTTGTATTTTGTGCATCCCCCCCTTTTTTAAGACTTTTGCTTTATAATCAAATATTGTTAAAAATGAGAGGTAAAAAGCCCTCCTAATTTTCACTTCAATTTATGTATGCTTTAAAAGGAACTTGAAACTGGCCTGGCAGGGATTCTAGGTCTCAAGGTAACTCACATATTGACTAAGTCCAAATTAAGGGACATTGTTTAAGGGCGTCTGTATATGTTATATTCCTTTTATCTAATGTTTTATGTTATTTCTGGTTTTTTTTTTTTTGACAGATAATCTTTAAAGAGCAACTTTCACCAAAAAAATTGGGCTTCTTAAATGTGACAGAACTTGTTGGAGCTCTTAGTGACATTCTCCGTGTTGAGTTCAGGGAAGGAGAACAAGACTTACTGGTGTTTGATGCTGATATGAAGCCACTACCACCTGGTGCGTTGAATCACAATTTGATGCAGACTTGATTTTTTGAAAATTGAAGTATAGTTGACATACAATTATATTACTTTTAGGTGTACAACATAGTGATTTGACCATTCCATACATTATGCTGTGCTCACCACGATAAGTGTAGTTGCATTTTGTCACCATACAATGTTATTACAATATGATTGACTGTATTCCCTATGCTGTATTTTTCATTCCTGTGACTTATTTTATAACTGGAGGTTTGTACCTCTTAATATTCTTCATCTTTTTTGCCTATCCCCCCACCACTGCCCTCCCTTCTGACAGCTATCAGTTCTCTGTATTTATGATTGTTTCCATTTTGTTTGTATTGATTTTAGATTTCACATATGAGTGAAATCATTGTGTTTGTCTTTTTCTGCCTGACTTATTTTACTTAGCATAATACCCTCTAGGTTTATCCATGTTGTCTCAGATGACAAGATTTCATTTCTTTTTATAGCTAATATTCCGTTGTATATACACTAGGACTTTATGTGGATAGACACTTAGGTTGCTTCCATAACGTGGCTATTGTAAATAATACTGCAATACATATAGGAGTGCATGTATCTTTTTGAATTAGTGTCTTCATTTTCTTTTGTTAAATACCCAGTAGTGGAATTTTACTGGATTGTATGTTATTTTTATTTTTAATTTTTTTTTTTTTTGGAAACTTTACACTGTTTTCCACAGTGGTTACACCAATTTACATTCCCACCAACAGTGCACAGGGTTCCCTTTTCTCCATATCCTTGCCAACACTTGTCTATTTCTTATCTTGATACTAGCCATTCTGATAGGTATAAGGTGATTTCTCACTGTGGTTTTGATTCTGCATTTCCCTCATGATTAACAATATTTAGCATCTTTTATGTGTCTGTTGGCCATCTGTATGGCTTCTTTCAAAAAATGTCTATTCAGATTTTCTGCCCATTTTTATTTGGATTTTTTTTTTTTTTTTGGTATTGAGTTGTAGAAGTTTTTTTATGTATTTTGGATATGAACCCCTTATTGGATATATCATTTGCAAATATATTCCCCCATTCAGTAAGTTGTCTTTTCATTTGGGTTTCCTTTGTTGTGCAGAAGTTCTTTAGTTTGGTGTAGTCCAATAGTTTATTTGTACTTTCATTTCCCCTGCCAGAGGAGACATACCTAGAAAAATGTTGGTAAGGCTGATGTCTAAGAGATTACTGCCTATGTTTTTTTTTAGGAGCTTTATGGTTTGAGGTCTCACATTTGGATCTTTATTTTGAGTTTGTTTTTGTGTATGGTGTAAGAAAGTGGTCAGTTTAATTCTTTTGCATGTAGCTGCCCGGCTTATTGAAAAGATTTTCTTTTCCCCACTGTATATTCTTGCCTCCTTTGTTATAGATTAAATGAACATATAAGCATGGGTTTATTTCTGTGCTCTCTGTTCAGTTGATCTATGTGTCCATTTTTGTGCCAGTCCCATACTGTTTTGATTATCACAGCTTTGTAGTATGTCTTGAAATCTGGAATTATGATACCTCTGACTTTGTTCTTTTTCAAGATTGCTTTGGCTATTCAGGATCTTTTGTGGTTCCACATATATTTTAGGATTATTTATTTAGTTCTGTGAAAAATACTGTTGGTATTGGAGCAACTGGGTGGCACAGTCAGTTGAGCATCCGACTGTTGGTTTTGGCTCAGGTCATGATCTCAGGGTCATGAGATTGAGCTCTGCGTCAGGCTCCTTGCTCAGTGGGAAGTCTGCTTGGGATTCTTCCTCTCCCTCTGCCCCTCCTCTCTTTCTTTCTCAAATAAATCTTTAAAAAAATTCTGTTGCTATTTTGATAAGAATTGGATTGAATCTGTAGATTGCTTTGGGTAGTGTTGACATTTTAACAATATTGGTTCTTCTAATCCATGAACATGGTGTATCTTTTCATTTGTGTCATCTTTAATTTCTTTCATTGGTATTTTATAGTTTTCAGAGTACAGGTCTTTCACTTGGTTAAATTTATTCCTAAGTATTTTGGGTTTTGTTTTTTTTTTTTTTTGGTGCAATTGTAAATGAGATTGTTTTCTTAATTTCTCTTTCAGCTACTTCATTATCAGTGTACATGCAACAGATTTCTGTATATTAATTTTGTATCCTGTAACTTTACTGAATTCATTCTAATAGATTTTTGGTGGAGTTTTTAAGGTGTTCTGTGTATAGTATCATGTTATTTGCAAATAGTGACAGTCTTATTTCTTATCAATTTGGATACCTTTTTTTTTCTGATTGCTGTAGCTAGGACTTCCAGTACTGTGTTGAATAAAAATGGCAACAGTGGACATCCTTGTCTTGTTCCTGAGAGGAAAAGCTTTCACTTTTTCACTATTGAGTATGATGTTAGCTGTGGATTTGTCATATATGGCCGTTATTATGTTGCATTATGTTCCCTCTATATCCACTTTGTTGAGAATTTATCATGAACAGATGTCGAATTTTGTCAAAAGCTTTTTCTGAATCGATTGAGGCAACCATATGTTTTTTTTTTTTTTAATATTTTTATTTATTTATTTGAGAGAGAGAATGAGAGACAGAGAGCACGAGAGGGAAGAGGGTCAGAGGGAGAACCAGACCCCCTGCTGAGCAGGGAGCCCGATGTGGGACTCGATCCCGGGACTCCAGGATCGTGACCTGAGCCGAAGGCAGTCGCTTAACCAACTGAGCCACCCAGGCGCCCAACCATATGTTTTTTAACTTTCATTTGTTAATGTGATGTATAATTGATTGATTTGTGGATATTGAACCATTCTGGCATTCCTAGAATAAATCCCACTTGATTGTGGTAAATGATCCTTTTAATGTATTGTAGAATTTGGTTTGCTAATACTTTGTTGAGGATTTTTGCCTTGTATGTTCATTAGGGATATTGACCTGTAGTTTTCTTTTTTTGGTAGGGTCTTTGGTTTTGGTGTCAGGGCAATTTTGGCTCATGGAATGAATTTGGAAGCTGTCTTTCCTCTTTTATTTTTTGGAATCATTTGAAAGAGTAGGGATTAAGTCTTTTTTATTTAAATGTTTGGTAGAATTCACCTGTGAAGCCATCTGGTCCTGTACTTTTATTTCTTGGGAATTTTTCGATTACTGATTCAATTTTGTTATTAGTAATTGGTCTGTTTATTTTCTATTTCTTCCTGATTCAGTTTTGGAAGATTGTATGTTCCCAGGAATTACCCATTTCTTCTAGGTTGTCCAGTTTGTTGGCATATAATTTTGTGTAGTATTCTCTTAGAGTTCTTTGTATTTTCGTGGTGGTTTGTTTTGTGTTTCATTTTTGATATTATTTGTTTGAATCCTTTTTTTTTTCTTAATGAATCGGCTAAAAATGTATCAGTTTTGTTTATCTATTCAAAGAACCAGCTCTTGGTTTCATTGATCTTCTCTATTGCTTTTTTGGGTTTTTTTTAGTTTTTATTTTTTAAAATTTTACTATGTTATGTTAATCACCATACATTACATCATTAGTTTTTGATGTAGTGTTCCATGATTCATTGTTTGCATATAACACCCAGTGCTCCATTCAGTACGTGCCCTCTTTAATACCCATCACCAGGCTAACCCATCCCCCGACCCCCCCCTCTAGAACTCTGTTTGTTTCTCAGAGTCCATAGTCTCTCATGGTTCATCTCCCCCTCCGATTCCCCCCCCTTCATTTTTCCCTTCTTGCTATCTTCTTCTTCTTTTTTTTTTTTTTTAACATATAATGTATTATTTGTTTCAGAGGTACAGGTCTGTGATCCAGTAGTCTTACACAATTCACAGTGCTCACCATAACACATACCCTCCCCAATGTCTATCACCCAGCTACCCCATCCCTCCCACCCCCCACCACTCTAGCAACCCTCAGTTTGTTTCCTGAGATTAAGAATTCCTCATATCAGTGAGGTCATATGATACATGTCTCTCTCTGACTGACTTACTTCGCTCAGCATAATACCCTCCAGTTCCATCCACGTCGTTGCAAGTGGCAAGATTTCATTCCTTTTGATGGCTGCATAATATTCCATTGTGTATATATACCACATTTTCTTTATCCATTCATCTGTTGATGGACATCTTGGCTCTTTCCATAGTTTGGCTATTGTGGACTTTGCTGCTATAAACATCACGGTGCACGTACCCCTTTGGATCCCTACATTTATATCTTTGGGGTAAATACCCAGTAGTGCAATTGCTAGGTCATAGGGTAGCTCTATTTTTAACTTGTTGAGGAGCCTCCATACTGTTTTCCAGAGTGGCTGCACCAGCTTGCATTCCCACCAGCAGTGTAGGAGGGTTCCCCTTTCTCAGCGTCCCCACCAACATCTGTCATTTCCTGACTTGTTAATTTTAGCCATTCTGACTGGTGTGGGGTGGTATCTCATTGAGGTTTTGATTTGGATTTCCCTGATGTCCGGCGATGTTGAGCACTTTTTCATGTGTCTGTTGGCCATTTGGATGTCTTCTTTGGAAAAATGTCTGTTCATGTCTTCTGCCCATATCTTGAGTGGATTATTTGTTCTTTGGGTGTTGAGATTAATAAGTTCTTTATAGATTTTGGATACTAGCCCTTTATTTGATATGTCATTTGCAAATATCTTCTCCCATTTTGTCCATTGTCTTTTGGTTTTGTTGACTGTTTCCTTTGCTGTGCAAAACCTTTTTATCTTGATGAAGTCCCAATAGTTCATTTTTGCCCTTGCTTCCCTTGCCTTTGGTGATGTTGCTAGGAAGAAGTTGCTGCAGCTGAGGTCGAAGAGGTTGCTGCCTGTGTTCTCCTCAAGGATTTTGATGGACTCCTGTCTCACATTTAGGTCTATTGCTTTTTAATCTCCATTTCATTTATTTCTATTCTCACCTTTATTTCCTTTCTCCTCCTAACTTTGGGATTTGTTCTTTTTCTAGCTCCGTTAAATGTAAGTTTAAATTGTTTATTTGAGATTTTTCTTTTTTCTTGAGGTAAGGCTGTATCCTTATAAACTTC